CCAATCTGTATGCACCTTGGTCCACACAAGTTCACGTTGATCTACGCTTCCTGTACCAGATCCTGCAGGTCCAGATATAGCTGACGACTCAACAAATGCTGCAATTACAAAAAGCAGGTACTAACTAGTCAGCTTGTGTCGATACCAGAAACCGATTATAAACATCACTTTCGAATCCAATGTACAGACAGTAACCGTGTGGAAACGCAACAAAATATAGCAATCTTACGTCTCGAATCCCCCAACCCCCCACAAGTCCCCAATAACAAAGCAATCACATTCTGCTCACTCACACACACGTACACATAAGAACCCTAGAAAATCTGCAATGACAGTGAAACAAAGCTGTGGGTGTTGCTGCAGCGGACCTCCTATTTTCACCATCAGAGTACAGTACCTAGTTTGGAAAAAAGTAGGATATCAAACGAATTAACAGTAGGAAAAACATGTACGATATCTTTCACGGTTCTCAGCCCCTCGTGTTACCGACACTGAGGTTGTCGGTGATGAAGTGATGCGTTATGTTGTGATTGTGCATGAGTCAACGCCTCGTCAAAGTTCAACGGTTGTTGGATATTGTGATAGGTGCCTATTTTTAGCCCTCCTAGCTACTTTAGTAGGAGACAAATTTCTTATAGTTAATGTAGGCATGTGTTGCAATGGAAGGGAATCTTTTTCAAATTTGTAGAGGGCTTCACAAAGAGCATCAACAATTCTTAAATATGCATTTAAAACATTAGTTTACATAGATTTTCTCAAAAAAAATAAAAATAAAAATCAACTCTAGTCTCTCATACTAAGACTTTTTAGTGTGTGTGTGTGTGTGTGTTTTTTTTTTTTTTTTTTTTTTTTTTAAAGAAGTAGCTTTTTTTATTACTATTATTAATGCATTCATATAAATTTGATTGATTTAAGTTTTATATTTTATGAAAAAAATGTCACGTAATCTTTTTAATGAATTAAGCCACAATTAGCACATATATACATAAATATATTATAAATAAATGGATAAAAATATACAATTTAAAAATAAAATAAAATAAAAGAAAATAATCTTTATAACTCAAAACATAAAATTTGTTTATAAGCTTCTAAGACTTTATGGAATGATATAATAAAAGATGACATAAAGAAAAATAAGGTGTTAGAGAACTAGAAAACATTTTATAATAAATAAATAAATAAACATCCGTTAAGTTTTAAAAAAAACTACACTCAAATTTGTAAACATAAGAAATTTGGAGGAAGAAAACTGAAAAGCTAAGAAAAAGATTGCATGTCCTAATCTAGAAGTAGAAAAAGAGATGCAATTAGTTACTAGAGGAGATTAACAAAAAGTTTTTTGCAAATAAAAATTGTTCTCTTAGAATCTTCTAATGCTAAATATTGATAGATATAAATTTTGAAATCATTAGATAGCTTTCATGGCATTAAAAAATTTAATTATATATATATATATATATATATATATATATATTCAACTTTAAAATCAACTTGGCATTAGTAATAAATTTAAATAGCAACAAAAGAGTTAAGATTGTACAAAAATAAAAATAAAAAGTTATTTTTATAAAAAAATATTTATACAATTGTTATCCATTTCTAATTAACTTTAACAGATTGGTTGCTAATTGCAGAATTATTTTTGACAAGATATGAATTGAAGAATATACAACCTTCACATTGCATCTAATATGGTGATATTCATATAAGCACCTTACTTTGGAAAATTACTTTCAAATTTAATCAATAAGATATGTTTAAGCTATACAATGTAAAGTTTTATTAGACTAATTTGGTTAAGAATATAAGAATATATTCTAAAAATTAAATAAGTTTTTTTATAAATTTTTTTATGATATTAGATATTTTTATTTTTTATTATGATATTTTTTAAAGTATAAATAAATAAATACATACATATATATATATATATATATATATATATATATATATATGATGTTTTATAATATTTTTTACTTATATTAAAAGATGAAGTATTTAATAAATTTTATTATTATTAATAAATATGAAACATTAAGAACTTTAAGTATACTAAATTATTTTTTAAAATTTATACCAAATAAATTATAAATATTTGCTAAATTTATATTTGTTATGTTGTAATATTTTTAATATATGGTTTCAAATGTTGATATGATTTATATACTTTTCAATACTCTAAACCGTGAGCAAATAGATGTAGTATGCATTTAGACTTTACAAATCATATAGAAAATTTTCATCCTTTAAGTATAAATATTGCAAAAAAATATAAAATAATTACATGGTGTATAGAATGTTTATTAACTTTGATACTATTGTATTTACCAAATTATCTATGCATTCCAAATGTAAAAATTAAAATTAAAAATCCCTAATAGTTTTAATTGTTTAATTAATTACATATATATATATATATATATATATATATATATATAAATGAAACATGCATATAATTTATTAAACTAAACTTGCATGTAGTCTATGTTATTATTTGTATTTAAGCATTCAAATATTTTTCATGTGACAATCTTCTTTTTATGTGCATGTGTGAACATTCAAACGAAAATTAAAAACTATACATATAGAAAGATATTCTTAATGCTAATTGGTAAATGACTAAAATATAGATGGAAAAAATACTGGAAAATCTTGAGTTTGTATTAAGCTTAATCTAATAAAAGTTTAATATAGTTCTGTAGATTATATAATTTTTTTGTAAAAGATTATATTTACAAGTAGTTAATTTTTAAATTCATACTTACCTGAAGATTCTATTAATATTTTGATTCAGATTGAAAAAGCAAGTACTTTATGATAGCATTATATATATATATATATATATATATATATGTATACTTTTATTTTTTAAATGTTCTAAGAATTTCAAATTAATCACATATTCTCATTTCTAAATATGTAAATTATTAAATATACATACCATTATGTTTTATTAAAATAATTTTTATATATTTTCTGGTGTTATTTTGCAAATAATTATGTGTATTTTTTTAATTGGATTTTCTATGATCTTAAATATAGTATGAAAATTATGGTTGATTAAATGTGAAACTTCATTTTAGTGTAGACTTTAATTTTAAATAGTTTTTAAGGAATATACTTATATATATATATATATATATATTTAAATAATTAAATTATAAAAGTTCAATGGATATAAATTATTATGTTTCTTAAAAAAAATTATCATAAAAGTTATATATATATATATATATATATATATATATTCATATAGTTGAGTGTGTTTTTAAAAGCATCTTTAGAATATTACACACAAAGATCTCTTCTAATTTTTATTTTTAGTTAAAAAAATTTACATTTTTATTTTAAAAAAGTTATATTTCTATATTTAGATTTTCATCTATGAATCTATTATCAATTAATTTTTATTAAATTTTAATTACTTTTTTACAAAATCATAAAAATTGTATAATTGTTTTTGATGAATACATATTTATTAAGTTTAGGTCTATTTTTTTAATTAGAATGTTATTTTTTAATTATAAGATAAAAAATAAAATTTTAATTAAAAATTAAATAAACAGATAAATAATTATATCCACATTTGTATCTATATGTACATTCTAATATTATTTTAATATTTTTTACCAAAGAAACAAATATATATATATATATATATATATATACATATATAAATCTTTTTGTAATCTTTCAAAATGTTATAAGAAATTTTAGTTTTAAAAGTTTTAATGAATTTATGATGAAATTTAGAACTAATATATTGAGATGATTGTGTAATTCTTTTAAGATAATGTTTTATATGTGATACTTATTTGAATATTAAAAGAATGTATCAATAATCTCTTCTTATGTGAAATTTGGCTTGTTGATAGTCAGATTTTTATAAACCAAATTAGATTTTTTTACCTATAGAATGAAAAAGAAAGTGAAATACAAAAACATGCAAAAATGAATAAATGAAAAAAAGCATGAAACTTCTGCATCTTTCGTTTTTAATTATAATACTATGGTATCAAAAATAAGAAAAGATACCAGACAGTTCAATCTTCATAAAAATTTAGTAATAAAATATTTAAGAAATAAATAATATTTTGGGTGATCAATTATTTTTCACACGTATCTTTAAATAGGATGTTGCTTGCGAAGTTTGGAAAGAGAATATATATATATATATATATATATATATATCTCACTTTTTTTTAAAAGTGTCACACATCTTTGGCATTACTATGAAATTCTATATTCGCTTTAGATAACACATGTACTTTTCAAAAAAATGTATTATATGTTTTAATAATCTTATCTGAATTATTCAAACAATCAATTATAACATATTTCAAACTGTGTCAGAGCTAAAACATTCTAGTTTACACAAGGCCGGCTCCACCGACCTTGTGCTGTAAATAGACAACCGCCCCAGCCACAGGGGCAAGTTGGTTTCAGACGGACCTTGGCGACTTGTTCGGCAGAATCTATCTCGCTGCTCTAAACTTGGCGAACGGATCTCGCACTTGTCAGAACCAGGGCCAGTCAGTAGAATTGCCTTGTGGTTGTTCTCGTTTTAAATATCGATTGAATCCAGTACATGGATCGGTCCAAATTACGCCTGCAATTACAATGATCAGCAGGAGGTGTGCAGTGAGCCACTGCCGAAGTTGTTGCCCACGTCGGTCAAATGAGACGATCACGTGGGTGCATGGAGTCTCTACTTTCTAACATCCTGCTAGTGAGCGCGTTTCAAGGATCTCCCAGGTGCTACTTTCCGATCTATGTATACGAAGGAATCACCTGGGTTTGTGGCGAATCATGGTTAAATGTAAAAAGATATATTTTTTAAAAGGGAAAGACTTAGATTCGGAGGAAATTGGCACAATCTTCGAAAGGAGGAAATTTAAGTAATAGAGTAAGAATATCTGAAGCTATCATGTTGTGGCGCATATATACCCTGGAGCAGAGGTGTTCATTCCGAATTTTTTTCTTGAATGAGAAGCCGGTTACCCGGTTAGAATAGTGATATTTTACGTACTAGGTAATGGAGACCTAGAATTGCGCGCCAGCACTGCGCGGAATGTGAAGGCGAGGAGGAGTCATTTGGCGGTGGTCGTTTCGCTGGTGGCTCTGTGAGGCTGACACAGCAGCTCAAGGGTCTTTCTGACCGCATCCTTCGTAAGCGTTTCACTAGGGGATCTTGGATACTGCGTCATGTCATTGAATAACTATGACAAAGATCCATTATCCGCCATTGAAAATCTATGAGGTCGATGCTACGCCCGTCTGCTGTCGAGTAGATCTGCCAGCAGATCGCTCTCCTCGGCTACGGCGACGGTAGTGTTGAATTCTAACGCCTAGAGAGCAAGTGTTGCAACATTTAATCACTTGCCCAAGGAAGTCTGGGTCTCGGCCACGAGTGTACTGTTTGTTTAGGATCCAATCAGATCGTTTTCCAAGCGTGTGTCTGGGTGAGAATAATTTTTTTGGCGGGGATATTTATTTATTTTATTATTTTTACCTCCTTTAGTTGGTTGTAGGAGTGCTCCGCTGAAAGGAGTATCTACGCCACCAGCTGTGCTCGAGGCGGTGGGAGCTGTTAATTGCATCTGCGATCGGTCTCCAGCATCATTGGCAGTGCAGAGTGGGTCTTAGTCATGTTTGAATTTTGGTAAGGGATTCTGACAAAGTGGAGCTTGTCTTGATGTGACGTTGCATTCTAATTACCTTGCTACCTTTGATTATCTAGCATTTCTTTCGTTTTAAACACTGTCTAGTTGATCCGTAGTGCCGCGTCTAGGCCTTTGAAGTTATCGTACCTCTGATGGGACTGTGGAACGGTTTAGTAGGCGCCAAACTTGCCGCATTTGTTTATTGTCTAGATCGGTCAAACGTGCAAAGAATTTTTCCACTAGTTAAATCGCTCAGTCCTTGCGGGTCATCTCATCGCGTAGATATCATTTGTGGAGAGCGTGAATTGGTGTCGCAGCAGAAACGGAGTGCTAAAGTCGTAGTGCATTATTGTCCTATTCATCTCTTGATATGCTGGTGTAGAAAGTTTTGCGAGAAACCAAGTGCTTATGGCAAAGTCCTGCACAATTAAATAGATAATTTGTGGACTCAATTTTAGCGCAGTTCTCTTAGCGCTAGTTGATACATTCGGAATGTTGAAAATGATTATGATTTGAAAGCTAGTCTGTGGTTGTGACAAATGTGTTGGCAAGTTCACCGCCGCTTGCTCCATCGTGGCACATGATATCTTGGGAGACCCCTCTTTGAACTGGCTGGTTGCATGTATGTGTATGCTCAACGTTTGGATGTCTGGTGGGGAATGAATCTGAATGCTTGTTGGTGTGTTGATTTTTCAGGGGTTCTAGGTGGAAAGGAGTTTAGGGCCATGTCTTCGAGTGGGAGCTGTTCAACGAACAAGGATATTAACGACGACGCGCGAAGTGTCTGTAATCAGTTCTCCAGCCCATACAATGACCCTCCAATTCCGCAAGATGCCATGACAACGCAGCCCTCTGTCGGCCGTTTCACTGAATCTGAGAAACCCATCTCTATGTTCTCCCGAAAGCCACCGGGCCCCAGAAGTCCCTATGAGGGTCAGGGTATGGCTGGTCAAAGCAACTATGGCATCCACTCCCAAGATTCTTCATCTACACAATCTCCCTCTGGTAGCATTGTGAATCTAAGAGCAGACTTACGAACCGACGGCAAGGTCTGTCCACATCTCAACTCATTCTGACAAGAGCCCCACCACCGCTAAAGGAGTGCTTCAAAAGTAGGACATAGAGGAGTTTTGAGGGAGAGAGAGAGAGCCAGAAGCAAGATATTTATTACGGTCATTGAGGATATCTGGCTTGGCCTACCTTGTCGTACCGATGAATGGCTTGCATCTGCAGGTGAACACGACCATTTCGAAGGGGAAGAAGTAATACATTTCGCAGAAGGTAGGATGGAGCAGCCTAACACTTTGTCCTTGGCGTTCCCTTCAAGGAATCATCATACCTTAGTTAATTGGATCGTCTTTGCTTTGAGACCGTGTTTCCAGAGTATTTTGTTGAATATGTTTACCGAGTAAACACACGCAGAATAGTTTCTGCTTGTGGTCATCATTCTGAACTATGATCAGGTGGTGGTATTGGATTAATGGTGTAAGCGTTCCTGGTTTTCTTTCGAAGCTGGGTTTTTAGAGTGCATAGCCTGCACTGTCAATTTGTGTGGAAGTTTTTTCTTTCGTTCAATACTTCACTATTGTAGATAGCATTGTTGCCCTCCGACATGTGGACCGCAGGTGTCATGCACGGTGGATTATCAATTTGCTGTCGACGAGTAAGAAGAGAGGGTAATCTGCGTAGCAAGGAAGGCCGACAGCTTCCACAGCGGTGGCTTTTTACTTGCAGATATAGAAACCTGCAGTGCAGTTGCGAAACCTTGAGTGAGTAGAGGTTTTCAATGCTTAGTTGATGTACTAATTTCTCAGTGAGCTGTTGATGATCATCTTGCTGCGTTGACCCTTTCAATGATGTCCTCAGTGTAGGATCTGATTCTCCCAGACGTGCTACACATCGATGTAACTCATGCTTGGATAAGTGTGAAGTCCTCCGAGACATGAGCACTACTTGTTACTTTTATTGGGTGTTATTGCCTACTCGCTTTTCTGCCTGGATGTTTGCTTCGATAGGATCCAACCTTTAAATCTTAGTACTTGACAAGTTTGAAGATGCCAACCAACCTTTAAATCTTAGTACTTGACAAGTTTGAAGATGCCAACGTCGACTCTTACTTGCTAGGATTAGTTCCCTCCAGTATTTTGAATGATGGAATATGAGTTGATATGTGTACTTTTCCTATTACCAAAGATTGATTTGTGATGGTGGAATATTTAATCTTTTAAAAAGTAGACTATTAAATCTTTTGAAGGAAATATATATATATATATATATATATATTTTAAAAAATATTTAATTTGTCAAATATGACACGCTAAAAAAATTATCATTCTTTTCAATCCATGTAAAAGGCATAAATATAATATTAATGGTAAAAATATTTGTTTTTTTTTACACAAAACAAGATATATTCAATGCATTGATACATTGGAACATGATATAAGAAATTGACATCTTAGATCATAATATTAATATTATAAGAGTGGTGTCATGTTGTAACATGACTAATGGATGAAAGAAAAGAAAAAAATATATTATAGATCTTATTACATAATATAGTAGCTGATTACTTTATAAATATAGATAATAGTCAAGGATATAGTAAAACTAATGAGTGATAATATTGTATTTTTATAAAATGGACTTCTATTTATTTTGAAGGACTACAAATAAGACAAAACAACACAAATTAGCAAAATTAGTATCATTAATATCTTAAGGTAGAAATAAATAATAGCTTTTAGAAAAATTACCTAAAATAATTAGATATTGATACCTAAAGAGGATCAATTATGAACTTAGATTGAAATCAGACCTTGAGGTACAAAACCGCATTCGTATGGCAAATCTAGGATTCTTTTGTTGATTAGAGAATAAGATTAGAGAACAAATTTGTAAAGATATTTTTGAGCATTGATTTTGAATAATTTTTGAAAGTTTTTTAAAGTAAGGTGTGTTTTAAGTTATTTGGACTTATTAAAAATAAAAAAGATTTTGTATATTTAAGAATTTTGTAATTATTTTAGCATATTGATGAATGAAAATTTATAGGCTTAAGCATCTACTTGTCTTGAATTTATTTTTTGAACTTGAATTCAATGTAATTATTAGATCAAGGGTTATTAAAATCTAATTAGGTTAGAGTCTTAGAAATTAAATTTCAAGGATCAATAATGGTTTTTTTAAACTTAAATAATTTCATACTTTGTCACAGACATATACATGTAAGCCAATAATTACATGTATAAATAAGTAGAAGTAAGTTAAAATAGGTAAAAGTAAGTTAATTCTATAATATTTGCTATGAAAGCTTCCTAGAAGCTTCATAGACACTACTTTGACTTTATAGGTGTCTTTAATTGACTTTTTGGATTAAAAACGTGGTCAACAAGTTGGCCATGTGCCACACATGTTGTTAGCTTGAAGACCAAGCTAAGTATGTGGTCCACACGTAGAAAAACATGCCTTGTAAGTCAAGGCATGTATCTTACAGAGTCAATATATATTGGAAGTCTTATAGAACATTGCCACGTAGCTCCTAATTAGATAATATATATAGAGACAAGAGTGAAGCCTTCTTCATTCTTGTCAATTCCTTTCTTGCTTCTAGTCTAGTTTCAAGGGTCTCTAGTTTTCTTGTCTTTTGGCAATAGCCATTCCAGTTTCTTTCTTAATATATATATTAAGTTATTTATATTTTATCATCTTTCTTTGAGAGAAGTCTCACTTGTTTATTTATTTTTATCAAGTTCTCGTCCTTGAGAGATTGACAAGAGTACACTTACAATATCAAAGCTTTGTCTAATCTTAATTAAGAGTGGATTACCCCTTTCTCTTGATAAGACATAAGCGTATCAGAAGTTGCGGATTACCCTCTTCTAAACTGATATTGTCCTTAGTATTTTCTTTTTTTCTCAAGTCCTCTCTTCTATTTCTCTTGAGCAATATTAGACATCTTTTTTTTTCTAAGTGTTATCATAGTAGAACTTGCTGAAATGAAGAGTGCAATAGCACAAATACAAGAGCAATTGAGGGAGTTAATGCTTGCGATGCATTAACTTAATTTACCACCTCAAGGAAAAACAAGATTGGTAGGAAGTGAAGATATAGAAATGATTGGAGCTGCTTCAACATATGTACCAAATCATGTTTCTTTTCTTATGGTGGAACTTCCTTCCAATGTTAGAAAATCTAGAATTACCTTACCCGAGAAGTTTGATGGCACCAAATAAAAATTTAGAAGATTTATCAATCAAGTACAACTTGTGATTGAACTTCAATCCCAAAGCTATCCAACTCTAGGATCGCAAGTTAGATTCATTGATACGCTTCTATCAGGTTCAGCATTATCATGGTTTTCATCTTTTTTTGAACGATGAGATCCAATATTAGATAATCTAGAGGCTTTTTTGGAGAAGTTTTGATCTATGTATAGAGAACATTATGCCATTCGTATTGCAACCAACAAGATCTGTATATTACGAGAAGATAATCGATCAGTACCATTCTATGCTTCACAATTTTGATAACTTGTAACTGATATCAGTTGCACTTCTTATCCAATTTTTCCACGGATTACAATATGAGGTAAAAAAATTAATGCTCAACTTACCTAATCCTCAAACACTGAGTCAAGCAATTGACTTTGCTGTGAAGTATAACAATCATCTTTTTGAATTTCAATTTGAGAACTATACAAGTGGACCTCAACATTACTATAATTCAATAGCAATACCAACATCTCTTCAACACATACATTCGGAAGTAGAGGATATACAAATTGATGCGGTACATTTCAAACCTCTTATTGAGTAAGAAAAGATTCATCGTCATCAGGAAGGATTGTGCTTATATTGTGGAGAACCTAAGCACACTGCTCAACATTGCTCAAAGAAGTGACACAACTATAAAATAAGAAGTATGGCGATCAAAGAAGATAGCATGTCGGAAAACAAATTTGTCCAGCTATAATAGGGACCATGTGGTTGGAACCTTGTACAATGCCTAGTGAAGATCCTATTCTCTCTTCAGAACCTTCTCCATGTTTTATGATAAATATTATTCTAGGACCTAAACATCACAAAGCCTTTACCTTGCTAGATTCAGGAGCCTCACCATATTTTTTAGATGAAGAATTTGCTAAAAGACATAGCATACTTTTAGTAAAGAAAATTAAATTTGTTCATGTAGAAGTCATAGATGGTCGTCTGTTGTCTTCAAGAGATCTTATTCATGAAATCCTTCCTATAGAAGTAACAACTAATGGTCATAGTAGCTTTGTAATATTTAATATCATTAGATCTCCCTCTAATCTAGTTATCTTAGGTTTATCATGGCTAAAAAAATATAACCCTAAAATAGATTGAACTTCTCGTAGTCTTGACTTTTCTGAAAGTATAACTAAGAGCGTAGTTAATCAAATAAAAAGTCATATTTCTAGTATAATTATACCTATATTTGTAAGTGCAAGAGCTTTCTTGTATGCTGCAAAAGAAGGATCAGCTTGTGTCATTTATGTCGCACTTGTTTTTACTGGTGGAAAGACTTCAAGTGGCATTTCAAGCCAATATCAAGATTTTTAAGATGTATTTGAAAAGAAGAATATGGATACTCTTCTAAAACATCGTCCCTATGACTACTCAATTGATCTTCAAGAAGGAGTACAACTGCCATTTGGACCAATCTATAGTTTATCACAAAATGAGTTGGCTGAACTCAAGGAATATATTAAAGAAAATTTGGCCATGAACTTCATACACCATTCCAAATCTCTAGTAGGAGCCATAATTTTATTTGTGAAGAAAAAAGACAGATCATTGCAGATGTGTATTGATTATCGAGGACTCAATAAAATCATCGTCAAGAACAGGTACTTACTACCTTTGATATGTGGACTCTTTGATCAGTTGAATCAAGCTAAGATCTATACAAAAAAAAATCTATGAGGAACATACGATCTCATACTCATCAAAGAAGAAGATGAATGGAAGACTGCGTTTCAAACAAGGTATGGACATTTTGAATACAATGTCATGCCTTTTGGGTTTACAAATGCACCAGCAGCATTCCAACATCTAATGAATGATGTCTATCAGGAGTTTTTAGATGATTTTATTATCTGTTATCTAGACAACATCTTAATCTATTCTAAAAATATAGAAGAACATGAACTTCATGTTTGTCATGTGTTACAAAAACTAAGAAATGTGGGACTATATGCCAAAATAGAAAAGTGTGTATTTCACATTACTCAAGTTGACTTCTTAAGATACATTATTTCAAATAATGGACTTATGATGGATCCTAAGAAAGTTCAAACTATTATGGATTGGAAGATCATCAAAATAGTGTTGAGTTGTAACATGACTATATGGTGAAAATATAAATGAAAAAGATATTATTAATATTTAGTCATCTTGGATGTTAGAAACAGTGGCCAATTCCAGTGCCAATATTCAAGGTCAGTTAATGTCACCCCACCGGAGTCATTGAATCAAGTACCCTTCGTACCAATGAAACAATCAGGATCATTTTTCAACCCTATATGGAACAAGCCTAATAGGTATATACTGGTGGAGACACCCAATATGCATGATGGTGGTACAGGAAGACCACTTCATCATTTTCGTTGCAGACTAGGTTGGTTATTATGCCAGTGAATGTTCCAATCCCAAAGCTAGTGATGATTACGCACTAGTGTATAGGAATTGTAAGCAGATGAGGCATATTTATCAGCAATGTAATGCTCCATCCAATTTCAATAAACGGGATCAACAGGTCCAAAGCTAAGATAAAATTGAGGAGATAAATCAAGGTCTTCAAGTTTCTCTAGTAAATTGGATGAAATGAGTCCGAGCCATTCTTATCAAGAGTCAAAAAAAGGAGAAAGGACCAATTCAATATTTCGGTGAGTCTGATGTGAAAGGCCAATTTCACTCAATTACATGGATATCCAATCCAGG